TCTTCAGATCAAACATAAGGCACTAAGAAGGAAGTTTAGTTAGAGATTTGAACAGTTTATAGGATGTGGTAAGGTATTTTATGTTTTTGGCAGGAAATGTGGATAACAGCGTATCTAGTTTCTGAGAGAGTTTGAGATTTTCCAGGAGTGGAATTGCATAAGCACAGTTAAAGCTGAGAGATGGACAGCTATACTGAAGACCACAGTAAATGCTATTTTGAGGCATCAGCCAATGTCACAGAGTTTGTAAGCATCATTTATCAGAAATAATGATAAGGAAACTTTTTACATCTAAATTGCCATGGGAAACTCCTGGTACGCTTCAGGTTTCATCTCATTCCAGTTTCTCAACCTGGATCTGATTCAAGACTTTTGAAGTTCCTGTGTCTAGATTTGAAAGGAAATGAGCTGGGACCTGGGACAGATAGCAGGATCTAGAGCCAGTCTTCTGAAGTGCTGAGCTGTCATGAATTCATGTGAAATCAGCTTCTGCAGAGCCAGTCCCTGCCCCAGTCTTCTCCTCCTGCTCATGTTTTCAGTGGGAGTTTAGGAATCAAAGTTTTAGGTCCCCTGCATATTTCTACCCTCGCGTTGCTTGTTGATTTACTCAGAGCAGGTCAAATCCCATCTCATCTATGTCAACAGCCCACTTAAAACTTCTTTGCAGGTTAGACAAAACTGGGCTTGCAGTCTGTAGGCAAGAGCAGGCTAGAAGAAAGGGCAGAGCTGGGACACCACTTGAAGGCAGAGCCCAGGGGAGAAGAGCCTGGTGTTCCTGATGCTGCCAGGGTATGGACCAACATCTAGTGCCTTTGCTCTCACTGTGTTAGCTGCTGCCACCCCACAGCCCTGGATCCTCCTCAGCAGCAGCAATAGCCAGCCTGCTTCCAAGCTTGGAAGGGTGGAAAGTAAACAATAGGGCTGTGACTACTTTTACTGGATGTTGTGGTTTAACCCCAGCCAGCAACCAAACACTGTGCAGCCGCTTGCTCACTCCCTCACCAGTGGGATGGGGGAGAGAATTGGAAGGGTAAAGTCTAGAAAACTTGGGTTGACATAAAGACACTTTAGTAGGGAACATGCAAGTAAAGCAAAACAAGAGCTTCATTCACTGCTTCCCATGGGCAGGCAGGTCTTCAGCCATCTCCAGGAGAGCAGGGCCCCATCATGCGTAACAGTTCCTTGGGAAGACAAACACTGTCACTCCAGGTGTCCTCCCTTCCTCCTCTTTCCTTCCACTTTATATACTGAGCATGATGTCATATGGGATGGAATATCCCTTTGGTCAGTTTGGGTCACCTGTCCCAGATGTGTCTCCTCCTAACCCCCCAAGCACCCCCAACTTCCTTGCCAGTGTGGCAGTACAAAAAGCAGAAAAGACCTTGGCTCTGTGTAAGCTCTCTTCAGCAATAACAGAAACATCTCCATATTATCAGCCCTGTGTTCAGCACAAATCCAAAATATAGCCCTGTACTAGCTGCTGTGAAGACAATTAAATCTACCCCAGCCCAAACCAGCACACTAGGCCAAGCACCTGGCTGCCCTGAATATTCATTGTTTTATGATCTGGTTCTCTCTGGACCCAAGAAGTTGATAAGGACCCAAGAAGAGTACAGAACATGGCCTTTATTACTCCAGTTACTCAGATGTGGATCCTAGCTATGACTACTGAAAATCTGTTTTGGTACAAAGCACGTAATTCTTTTTTTTTTTTTTTTTGTTTCTTAGGGTATTTCAATAAGAATCCTACAAAATGCCCCATGAATTTCTATTTAAACCATATATTTAAACCATCTATTTAAACCAAACTATATAAGCCAACTCACCGTGTGCCTCAAAAGCTTTTTCAGGAAGGCAGCACAGGACAGCCATTGCACTGGGGCTGTTTTCATTGGAAACAGTCCCCTCTTTTTGAGAAGAGACCTGAGTGTTGCCTAGCAAAGGAGATGGAGAAAAATACCAGCTTTTGCCTTTCTCTTCTTATTTTCTTTTATTTTTTTTCTTTCGTTTTTCTGGAGTGTCTGTTTAGCAAATTTATTTGCATAATTCTTTACAAACAGACTTCGTTTTTCACTTGCTGACACCAGCGATGGAAACCAGCAGATGGATGGAGGAGACTGCAGGCTCCTGGTAAGGATCGCCTGAACCACCAGAGGTCAGGCTGAAACTCCTGGTGGTTTGTCATGTTGAGCAGTTTAACTCGGATCCACTTCTGTCATTGCAACACAAAGTGCAAAGGCTGACAGGACATTTACTGCATTCCTTCTGTTCCTGGGAGACCACAGCCTTCCAGTGTATTTTCTAGCTCTTACTGTTATACACAAAGGCCTCTGGCTTTGTCTCATGCACTTTGGGAGCTGGTGAGACTGTCACGAGTGGTTTGAAAACTTTCCTGATAATCAGCCTGGAATTACCCTTTTTTTATCCCATTGCTCATGTCATGCTTCTCTTTGTGACTTCTCAGGTATGACTATAACAAACAGTATATTTCGAAGAAGAATCTGGCTTGCACGAGTTAAGTTGGACAAGTTACATGTGGCTTGTATGTGGCCTATTTTCACAACACTAATGACCCTTCTTGAACAGGTGATTTCCAGTGTGACCATACAGAGAGGTTGGGAGCTTGCTCCTGTAGCAACTGTGAATGCCTAGATGATCAAGTGAGTAATGCAGCCTCCAACAGAGCAAGCAATAAAGGGCTATAAAATCTAGCCTCTCCAAACAGCCTTCCTTCTCCCTCAGCTTTCTTCTCTCCACTGTGCTGCGTGATGGAAACAGCAGTATTGCTGCTGTACAGGACTAGGGACCATCCCACTTGTAGTCCAGAGAGCGTATCTAGCCTATAGGACAATTTGTGCCCCTTGCACTGGGATAGGTGAGGTGGGACAGTGTAGGAAGTCTTACAGCTATTGAATACCTTTCAATTCCTTGCTTTGGCCCATTAGACACTTCCATATTCACATGGAAGGATGAAGTAGCCACAACAGGAATCTGGCCTGTGGTGGTAGAAGAAGCTGGCCAATGTACTGTGTGAGCTCAGCATCTCTGTCTTGTGGAAGCACCACTGTGTTTTACCATAGCTGAGATGCTGAGCAGATGGAGGTCAGGGAGTGAAACTTGTGCAGGGTGGATTAAAAACCCATTTTCATGAGAATAGTGGACAAAGGGACACAACAAATGTAGCACAGGAAATAAAACTTACAGCAACAAGAGTCAGAGGCTTGCCCATTGTTAAGGTTAAAGTTCAAGCAGCAAAGTCTTGCCTGAGGCTGTGGTCATAAGTTTGGAATCATGTGCTCTGAGTCCATGGACATAAGATCGATAGAGAAAAGCTGACAGCGGGACAGACTTTCTTCTGCCATATTAGGTCAGCATGTTTCATCCTTGACTGCAAGGGATGCCTGAGGAGTGACAGGGTAGTTCATACACTCAGCCTGCTCGATCTTTATTTGCCCAGATGACTGCCAGTTAAAACAACCAGTGTCATTGAGAGCTGCTTGTAACTGTCCTGGATGAGATCAGCTCCAGAAGGAACTGAAATTAGTGTATAAGATTGTATCACATAGACTGCAAAATGTGTTTGTAGACCCACAGTGGATGTGATACAGTAATTTGGAGGTGATTTGCTCGATACTGCTTCCAGCAATCATGGTTCTTGGGTGTGATAATCTAAAGTAGTAGTGTGGGCTGTGCCAACATACTGTTTGTATCATCTTGTGTCTTGGTGTCAGCCAGGAGGCAATAGGACTGGTATGACTAAATCCTGGCTTTCTCAGTATCACACTTGCAAAGAACCATAATATCTAACCTTCAAATGCTCCCTATACAAGCTAGACCACAGAAACCAGCTGGAGTCCCAGCTAGTGTGTGTTGTCACAAGACCATCTCATTAGCCTTGTGACTTCTTAAACACAATTCTGTTGAACTTTGTTCTCCAGCCTCCCATTATTCAGATACTACATAAACCAACTCCCACTAGCTCCCTTGGGGATCATTACATCTCTCTGCATTTATGCTGTGGCAGCAAAGGTTTAAGCTTGGATTGTAATCATAAAGAAATTAACTTGCTGATTAAAATGGTCCTTTAAGCAACATGCATTTGAATAATCCATCATAAAAACAAACGAGCCCATAGCAGTGCTCTTGACTTGATAATCTTTTTTCTGCTTTAAATTTAAATCAGTTGCATTTTTTTTCTCTCAGTCTGTAGCCTATAGAAAAATTACTAAAAAGGAAGCAGTAGTTTGAAATGCAATAGCTGTGGTGTGGAATATATATTTTAGATCTGTCACTACAAGATAGATTTGTATGTCATAGACCCGATTTTTTGCTAAGATACCCTCCAGGCAATTCCATTGACGTTAGTTGTGTTACAGAAAAAGTAAGTTAATGCAGAAAATTTCATTTCAGATATTTGCAAAGTGTTTTGAAGATAAAGGACCTGTACATGTCAGAGCTGATCTAGTCCTTGTTGAAATCTGTAGAGAAGGTCCTGTTTAATTCAACAAGAGCTACTGGTTCAGGTCTGATGAATGCCGCAGAGCTGTGTTTACAAATAAACATTTGGAAAGAATAACAGTTTAGTAATTTTAAATATTGCATATTTCTCCATCTCTGTAGGTGAAAAATGAACCATTAGCAGTTCTCAATAGGTGTCTACTTTTAGACACGTCACTCAGTTTGTGGCTGTTAGCTGTACTGGTTGTGTGATGAACACAAGTAAGAGAAGATTTATGTGCCCGGAGGAGGATGCAAAAGGACAGCTCTAACTTACATGAAAATATGTAACACTGTTCCTGAAAGTAAAGAAAACCAAATTCAAACCTCTTTGCTTCATCATTTTTGCCTATTACAGTTCCACTTTTCTAGATGTTTGTACAGTCCACAATAATTCACATCTTTTATCCCCAGCCCATTCCACAAGCCCTCCATGTCTCTATTTTTAAAAATCAGCCTTTATCAGTACTGGTCTCAGCATTAGCAACCTGATAATTTCTCACCTTTTGGTCCAGGTAAAATTGTGTGTGTTGAGCAGACATCTGTTGTAGGTTGATTGTCAACATCAAAACCAAAAATCTGAACTTGGAAGATAAAAAGCACTACAAGGGTCCCGTATTTCCTTAGCTGTTGTTCTTTCTTGCTGCTCATCCTCGTAGTTTCTCAGGAAATGCCTTTCGTTGTTACAGTCTTAAGAAATGCAGCTGACTCAAAAATAAATGCTTCACTAACTGGAGCAGTGGAAAGATTGGAAGCTACATGCAAGAACAGCTAAATAAAGTGAAAAAAGGAGTTTGATGATGATGTAGTTATTTCTGTCCTGCACATTATCCAGGATATTTATTTAACACTGACAGCTGTTTATTCCAATATATCTCTTATCTGTGAGATGTTTAGCTGGTTTTGCCATGGAAAATTTCTTCAATATATGGGAATATCTCTTCTGTACTTTTTTGTTCCTTTCAGCACTTACTCTTCATGCTCAGCTTTTCACTTACTCAAGAGACAAAAGACTTTGGTATTGTATCCAAGTGCATACTAATTAGTTATAAGATACTTTTGGCTGGTTGTGTGATGGAAGAGTAATGCAGACTCCATATAACATGTAGAGATATTTTTCCACAAAAGCTTTCCTCCAAAGAGACTGTTAGTGACAACGGATGAGCTGCAAGTCCACTGTGGGTAGAAATCACTGGTGGTATTTCACACCTTTTCAGTGCCATGTACCCATAGTTCCCAGAGTAGCAAATGAAAACTTGATGTTATCAGTGGGTGTTTTAGCCCAAAACCCAACAAATTATGATTTTATGCTTACAGATTGCTCCACAATGCTTGCTCCAAGCCCAGATTGTGTCAGTAGACACAGTACAGAAAGGACACACTTCAGAACTGAAGACACAGAACAAGATGAGCTTGAATGACTGCAACATCTCCTCCCATATTACTTCCTGTGCACTGGGAGAGGCCATATGTCAGGACAGTGGTGTAACATAGGTCCCAACAGAACATTATCTTTGGGTTGTTGAGGAAGCTGTGGCTGGTTCAAATCCATATGAGGTAGCTATCAGGTTTTCAGCTGGGTGCTGGGACTTTGAAGCCAGGTATAGGATGCCACTTGGATGGAGGAACAGGTAGCATGGATCCTTCCTTTTGCAAGATGGTGTGACAGATATCTGTGCACAATCCCTTCCTAGAAAAAACTCCAGCTTTCTCTTAAGGGGAACACAGTAACCAGGGACAGCAGGTTGTTTGAGGTAGCCTGGCAGAAAAGAAAGAGGAGTATTTGTAGTGTTTTCAGGGATTTCATTAACTTCTGGTTTCTCACACAGTTAAGGAGACAGCTACTCGAAATGTTGAACTATGCTTTTGAACTGTGTAGTGCATGAGAGCATGTTTGCTTTCCATTCTAGGCAAAAAAAAATGTATTTCCTATGATAATAGCTTTTGAGAGGCTGTCCTCATTATTTAAGAGAGTATTAGTTCCCTAGTCCTGCAACATTTTAGCCTTTGGGCAGACAGAATAAGTAGCACTACTGATGTAAAAGCAAATACCTCTTCTTAAAGGCTGAAGGAAGGCTTTGATTTCAGGCTTTCATCTGTGATAAAATGTTGGCCAAAGTCCCAAGATGGGTCAAGACACTCCTCTCCCTCTCTTTTTCTAGCAGAGTCACAGACTGTCCCCCTTTTCAAAACACTTTTCTTTTTTGTTAAATTGTATGCAGTACTTTTCAGAAATAAATGGTGGTCTCTGTCCTAAAGAATGTGATCTAACACCCTCAAGTGTGGCCTTGATAACGGGTACACCACAGCTAGAGGAGGAGGAAAGAGAAAACTGGGATTATAGTTGAGTAGAGTCATACCAGGAATAAACTTGTTCCTCTGTGATTTGCTTTGGGCACTGTGCCCCTGACTTGTACACTGTAAATCTGTTTTATTTATCTTTTTCTTCTCTTCACTTTCCATTTTGTGAGCAGAAGGTCAATGTAAGAGCAAGAATAGAGAGCGTAGGAGTGGGAAGCTAGTGCACTTAGCTTTGGAGGAGGCATTTTGGGAAATGTTGCCAAACTGACATGAATGATGCTATCTATTCCACAGCACTGAGAGACTTACAGTGACTTCTTTGTTATTTATCAGGCATAAAGAGGGAGTAAGTGCAAGTGAGAGAGGAAACCATTTGTTTAACCACTTCAGTCACTGTCCAGGAGTAAGCAAGGAACGTTTTCTGATACTGCTGTATTAATTTACAAATGTTCTCATTCCACATTAGAAAATAAATCAAGACCCTACTTCTCCCCCCACCCCTAAAAGTCACAAACCCCTGAACACACAGTGAGAAGTTTAATGTATCTAAAACCTAGTTAATGAAGACACTTACTTAAAATGTAGGTGATCCAGTTTTGAATTATTTCTCTGCCAAATTCAAACCAGTGTTTGCACTAGAGCCTTAAGGTTATATTGCCTTATTACAAGGCTGTGTGCTAATCAGTTGTGTCTTCCTATATGCTGGACCAGAAATGCTGTCCTGGAGCTAGAAAATCTGCCTCAACAGGCAATCCATCTAAACTGATATACTAGCACAGAAGGCTTGGGTTTTGGCAAATCAGTATTTATCAAACCAGTTTCACTGAAAAATCTTCAAGCAGCTTCATTGCTCATGGAGATTTAATGAGGCCGAGTGCCTCTTGTGCATGTTAATTCTCATTGAATTAGGCTTAAAGAAATGTCCATAAGCAAGAGAGAAAAACAAACTAGGCAGCATTGTCCAGACATAAAAGACATAAAACAAATACTTCCAAGGGCATGAATGTTTTACAAGGAAACCCTGAGAAGACACAAAATAATATCATGGAAGATTCTCTTTGTTGAGATGACCAGTAGTCAGGTAACCTTTGTGTCGTGCATGGTGTGTTTGGAGTCCCAGTAACTTCCTTGGTAATTTGTATTGCCTTCATCTGCTTATTCTTCAGGTGTTAGTAGATACCAAACAGAGTCTCTGATTTGGGATGTTGCAGTTTGTGGTACCAGATACATCAATCATGGTGGGAAAGCTTAGAGAATATGGAGGAGGAAGAGCAGTAACATGTGGTTTGCAAGGTGTAGGGAGGAAAGTAATCCTAGGGCTATTTTGTAAAATGTCACTTTTGGTTTTGACACTACACAGTGACTACTCGAGCCTATAAACAGTCTCCACTGGTTGTTGTTCCTCTGAGTAAGATATAAATGGGGACTAGATCTTCATATGCCTGAAAATCACTGACAAAAAGAACTAACGTAAGGAAAAAATTCTCAAAAATCTCTCTAATAATTATAGGCAATTCTTGCTGGATATATGAGAGGCTTCATCAGCCTCAGCAGTACATAAATATATGTTCCACCATGAACTATGATCTCCCTGGTTTTCTGCTGGTGAGTTTGACTCTGTTGAGTTGGGTCCCTTGAGGGATGAGTATGAACTTTTCCTGGTCTGACACAAGAATGGTGCTCTGGGAGAACCTCAGGTCTGCATCAGAGTTTACAACCCCTTCTTGGGATGCTCCTGCCTCTCCTTTCCCACTCCTATCCCCCTCAGCCTTTGGCTCTTAAACTGAAAAGCTGACCCAGATTCCAGCTGTAAGTGTCTGCAAGGCCGGAGGGATTTGGAGACAGCTGGTGCCCAGGGAGCAGAATGGCTGGTCAGCACTGAAATCTCAGAAGGAGCTTGGGTTGCAGACCACAGATTCCGAGAGCTGCTGGATGCTGTTGGAGGTGCAGTACCAAGCCCTGTACCCTAAACAGACCTCCACTGTGTATAACTTTGGTTCACTCAGGTAGCAGTGCATTACAACTTTGTGTTTCTAACTTTTGCACTTAGCAAAAATTTCCTGGCTCACAATGAATGTGTTATAAGCACTTTTATTGTGAATACTTGGACTGAGAATACTTCTCTTTCAGTTAGCCTGCAGGCTTTTAGTTCTACTGAAGACACCTTAGACTTTATTTATATGGCACCAGCCTTCCAGAGAGGCCTAAGTACTTACTGCTACTGTTTTCTATGCAATCACTCAGAGAAGCTGTCCAAAAAGGTAAGCCATTCACATATGTATTCAGCGATGTGATAGAAAGTGAAATACTCAGTGTGGTTTGTAGTTGTGTTTATCTAAGTGCAGCCTCTTCCTGTGTCAGAGCAGATTTTTGCAAACAAGAGGGCCATGATTCAGTTCCAGGGGAAGACTGACAAAATAAACCCGAGCTTCTACTGACCTGATGCAGTGCTGAACAGTCTCCTACCCTGGGAAAATATTTCCTGCTTCATTTTCATAAATATTTATGTAATTCCTTCTGGGAAACACGTCTTCTTCAGAAAACTGAACATGCTGCTCCCTGACATAAATTTAACTGTTTGTTTACACATGAGAGATTACAGGCATGTACGCAGACTCAGATTTTTACATTCTTATCTCAGGCATTTCTGTCTTTTAGAGCTCTCCTTCATTCTCCTCCTAGAGATCACACGATGTGTTGAGCTGTGGAGCTTAGTTCTGGCTCTGGAATTTGAACAGCCCCAATGCTCTTCGGAGAGTTGTTATTTTGGGCTGCAGAAATAGGAACCAAATATAATGTTCTGCCTGGAATCACACTTCTGTCCTGCCCATTCGGGTTTGAGGCTCCTTTGTTAAAAAAAAAAAAATCATGTAAACAATTAAACAGAGGATTGAATGGCTAATTAAAATACTTTTATTTAGAAACAGACCTCCACACATGGCTGTGAATTGAAAAAGCACTTGTATGAAATCTTTTGAGTTTGCTTTCTGAGTTTATAGTAGGGATTAGTGGCAAAGTTGTGCACAAGTTGCCCCAAGAGAACAGGTATACTCCCCACCACAACAAACTGAAAATTATTGATTCTGCCCTCTTTAACATTTTCTAAGAGAACAGAAAAGTCACTGACATTGAAGCACAGACTAACAGAACCTTGTGTGAAGCCTTGTATTAGTGCAAAGCTGAGCTTTGCTTTCTAACATGCTCATAACCCTTCCATGAAATAGGGAACTGTGTGCTCCAGAGAAAGCCATGTGATGGATGGAAGCCATTGTCACAAGGGATGGCAGATGTTCAGCTTGTGCCCAGGATAAAACATATAAATGAGTAAGTGGTACCGAGGGGATGTGCTGACTTGTGGATTTTATATGAAACCAGTTTATCATGCAAAGCAGTGACAAAACTTCAAAAATCAAGCTTTGCCAGTCTCTTGGTCCTAGAATTCAGCTGCTGTGCCTTGCATTACCCATTTGACCTTATAGGCTATAATTATATAGATTTATCTAGATTTATCATCATTTAGTTTCTCTTTTTTCCTTCCTTTCAGTTCAAACTCTGCTGCACATTTTCCAAATAGAGCCAGAGTCAAACAGTTTTTAGCACTTTCTTCAGCACTTTGCAAAAGGAGGCAGCTACCTG